TATCCAATGGAAAGAAAGTGAAGGGGAAAAAAAAGTAATAAATAATATGAATAAGAAACTAGACTAACAGTAGTACCCCTGATAAATCAGCCACTATTTAAAAAGGTGAGACTTTGAGCAAACACACTTTACTACATGTTCCATGAAGGGAACTTTGTCACGAAGTGAAATCAACATGGAAGAAAATCATTAAGTGCTCAGATCGGGGCTCTTAATTGCTCTCTGCAAGTCTGCAAATCCAGAAATAAAACACACCATAAATCTTAATAAAAATATAAAGAATTTACAACTCATAACACGTTAGAGATTAAAAAACCAGCGTGTCCACATGCGCTGATCCTTCAGCAGCCCCGCACAGCAGTCGGTTAATAGCTGCACTCCCCTCCTTTCTTTGATAAGTATTTTAAAAACAAACATCTTAAAAAATACTTCTCATAAAACCCTTCTGGAGCAGCCTGGCAGAGTTTCAAGGTACCAGAGAGGCTCTGCTGGTGCTGAAGTTGGAGAACCGCGACTCCACACCTCGAGCAGCCGCCTCCCCGTGCCTTCTCCTTCCCGAAATGGCAGCGGCAGGAGAAGAGCTGGCGGCAGGAAATAGCGTGAGAATGGGCTCTCTCATGCTACTTCCAGCCCTTCCTGATATCAGAGGGTGTGAAATGGGTTGCAAAGACTGTCTCTCACATTATTTCCTTTTCCACCCCAGCCAAAACCAGGAAGCGCCAGTGAGGAGATTCATACGCAGAGAAAGCACAGCGTAAAATGAAGTACAAATTCAAATTAATAGCCAAGGCTACTAAAACAAAAATTTAAGGATCTGTGGGCACAGCCTAATATTAGCAACTCTAGGAAAAGCAGCAGAAGGCTCATGTACCCAGGCTTTGCTTTTGATTTGCTACTGACATCAAAGCAAGTTTCTTCAGGCCATCCTGACTTTGGGTCAGACCTTCCAGCACGGTGTCAATCCTTCATGTCCTCATGCCACAAACAGCACATGCCTGTTTGAGGGAAAGATCCTTCTTACTCTGACTACTCTGCTGTGTATTTGTGAGTCTTTTAAGACCAGAGCTCCTCAAATGAAACCTGAGCTAGAAGTATTAGCAACAACAGCACTTCAAAGAGATCACGTCTGTTCGTATTTGACAGAAGGCACAGATTTGTCAAACAGGTTTTGGCACGTCACAGTGGAAATGGCTCCTATATTTTTGACATTAATAATAATTTTAAATAAAATGTAATCCTCTGCCTTTAGGGAAGAAATATGAACGATGGTAAATAATTTAACATCGTTTGGGATTTTCTGTATTCTAGACACTTCTGTGTTCTTCTGTTTATTATTAGCCAAGAGCAGGATCACATGGCAGCTTCAGCAGGAACACTCCTTCTTCTATGTGTAAATCCCTGTGAGATGCAAGAGCAATGAAATTTGCCCTCCTCATAGATAATGCTCCCTCCTCACAGAATACATTCCTCTCAGAGACAAACTGCGGACAACCTCACAGACCACATTGTTCTAAAAGCAGAAATGAAACTAATTACTTGGTAAGTCCAGTTTAGAAAAGGGAAACAAGCTGCCTTTCCTTTCCCTGCCTCTCGAGACTGTCAAATATGCCTCGACAGGAAGTACAGTAAAGCTCATGATGAGCAGAGGCAGCTACTCTTTCAAAATGAACAGGGCTACTCCAAAGTGACATTTTCATTTAGCCAGGGAGCTTGAGGATAAAGGGCAGGATACCAGAAGGGCTCTCCAGCAGATGAGGTTACTGGCCGGGTCTTCCAGCTTCACACCTTCAAAGATCCCAACTGCAGGGAAATGGGAAGGTACCTGTGGCTTTTGGTCTTTTCTGAGCCAACACAACCAGGAACTCGGCAGAGCAATGAAAAGAGTGTGTATTAATGGTCACTTCTTATGGGGAGACACAGAGTTGTAGTGATTCAGCAGAAAGCACTGCAGTATTTAAAGTTACTGCTCAGCAACAGGTGACAAATACCATTTCCAGACTCTGAACACCTACGTTTAAGTTAGGGAGGTACAACACATTAGGCTGAGAATATTTGTTCCCACTTTCTTGGGAATGAACATCCCTTCCCTCCTCAGCACAAACTCTGCAGATGTTTAAGCCGCCATCTCCTGAACATCTTTCTTTTCCAGATGCCTCCTGCAGCTGTGCCATCGAGCCCTGAACTCTGAAAAGACCTTCTCTTGGACTACAGCTGAACTGTCCCCGTGGAGAATCAGCTTCTATCCACGAAAAGCAGAATTGGGAAAGCAGCAATGACAGACAGAAGGGAACAAGGTAAGTCGTCATGGCCTTCCCTGTACCTTAGTGCCACCCTCATCCCACTGAGAAAGAAGGAAACAGGAGGGAAAGGACTCAAAGCACAGCAGGCAGGAGGCTGCCTGGAACAGTTGCCACACGAGCCCTGGGATGTGCCCTGAGGACAGATCAGCCCTGAGCTCTCCGGGATCCCCCAAGCTCTGCACACATTTCATGCAGGTGGGGCAGAAACAGAAACAAATTTTATTCTGATACTGACATTTCTGAAAGACAAACAAGGCCCTGTAAGATACGTGCTCCTCGCTGTTCCCTGCTAAAAGACAGGCAAAATTGATTTTTAAACACTTGGCAGAATCTCCTTGCAAAGCCTCCTATATATAACTGTGTCACTTACAACAGTAAAAAAAAGTTCATTTTTAAAAATTGCAGAATGTTAAATGAGCCCATACCAAGACAAACTTTACGCTAAGCAATTCACACTTTAAAGAACGACAGTTGAAAAAAATTAAATTTTTTTACAAACAACTCTGAGAAGTAATTTTTGTGAACAAGAAACATTTAGAATTTTAAAGCAATTCACTGAACAAAGAATCCATTAATATTTAAGAATTTATTCAACTTTCAAGAGCAAGAAAGGATATTTGGAACTGGATTGATCTTGAAAGAGAAAAGTCACTTTTCCATCTCCCATTTCCCATATGCCTTTCTTGTTTTAAATGGGGACTTCAAAAGGGAATAGTGTTCAGAACCCAAAACTGCTCTCTGGAAAAGCTGACAACCCCAACAGTTTGCTCAACTTTCTTTTTCAACTTCTATTAGCTCTAACAGCAGCTTGCACATCCAAATTACAACAGTCCTTACTTGATGAATCTCAGCTACATTTTATATTTTGCCTTTGCTACATTTTTGTTGGTGCGTGCTCACCAGGGTTATTTCGAGGTATCAATCAAGTCAGATTTTATAGAAAATAATTTTTGTCAGGTCCCTTTTTTAATTTAATTTAATATGATAAGAACAAGTTCAGCACTTCAAAGTGATGTTATCCTCCAAGGCAACATTTTGCCACTAAAAAGTCTCCTACTATGCATTTTCTGCTATTAAAAACGATACCACTGCATGGTCAAAAATGCCAGAAAGGACAAGAACTACCAAAATTAACAATCAGAAAGCTCCTTCTGCAAGACTGTAATATCTTTTTTTTTTCCCCCAGAAAAAAAAAACCTAATTTGTCAGCAATGTTCAAGGTTTATTTTTGGCTCAACAGCCCATGATGTAGAATTAAGTGTTCCACTAGATGGAGCAGGATGGTAAAGCCATCATGAAGGCCACTTCCCTTGCTGATCCATGAAAAAGTCAATGTCCAGGGACGATAAGAATTTTAGCTTTCTTCTGTGTTTTCAGGGCAGAACAAAATTTGTTCCTCTTTCAAGAAAGGGCAACACAAAACCCTCTTAGTGCTCAACAATATTTACTTCTTCCCAGCACAGAAGCTGACTATTAACAAACACTAACCAGAAAGAGATAACCAAGCACTACCAGAAACAAAACCAGCTCTTCCTCATTTCTATCAACTTCACACTAGAAACACAAAATTTACTGGATAGTTGACTGAAAAATGAAAATCCTGTAGTAATTTTTTATTTTGTAGCAACTGAACTTGCAAAAACCTCCGTGCCAAATGATCAAACATAAGTCACCTAATGCAAAAGACATCACTGCACATCAAACAAATTCACACTGGAAACAATGGCAAAACTTCAAAGAGGCTCCTACAGACCTAGAGCTGTGCAAGTCATAGTAAAATTATCTCTCTTGTCTCTTTTCAAACAGAGCTAATTGTTGATTTACCTTTCAGTCTACCTAAACAAGCAAACAAAAAAAGGGCCATATAGATTTTATTTCAAGTGCTCTTTCAGAGATGCAGTACGAGACAAACTGCAGTTGCCCATCATCATGTGAGAGGAGAAACCTGCATGTCTGTGAGACCATTAAACCTTACTTCAGCTTCTCCAAAAGAAGTAGAGAGTATAAACTAAGAAATAATATTTTTAACTATTAATATTCCAAATATAAGTCCTTCAATTCTTGAGCACAACACAACGAAAATACCAGGAATGGTCACAGTTATCACGAGCACTTTGCCACCAAATTCTGAGCCACAGTTATGTTGCTGTATGTGATAAGTAACTGCAAACGTGCAGCAGTGTCTCAAGACAATACTAATTATCACAGTGGTGTAAATACCAGAAGAGAATGAATCTCTCAGATATGTGCAGGAAGGCACATAAGCAGAAGTCTTGGTGACTGATCACAGGCTGCCTCCCGTGATTGCTGCTGCCATCTCTTTGGTTTTGGATAAATAAACTGCACTAGAAACTAAAGTGACAAACACGGGCTTATTTCATACCAACGTACTTGGGAACTTCTGAAACCTGCTGCAGCACCTGAGGTGGGAGAGGCAGGAAATTTAGCCTTTGAGACAATATAACTGTCCCCTCATTAAGGGGTCAGCCTGTATTAAGACCATCTGAAAGCATCTGCAAGGTTCTCAATGTAGACACTGTCTAACTGAACCACCCCTCTGAATAGTTGATTACCAAGAATTCTCTCTGTAGCAGACATTCCTTTTCCAAGGTATGGAAAAATAATCATCAGGACATGCAAATCACAGTCATTACCAGTCAGTAACAAAACCATCTCCAGCCCACTGGAAGCAATACTTACTACTGTGCACAATCAATCAGCTGATATTCGTTAGATCTCTCATAACAGGCTTTCACACCTTCGTCTTGCCAAAGTGTTTTTGTGTGTTCATAAAACTCCTGAAAGAGGAAAACACTATTAGCAAAATGGATTACAGATGAGGAGCATCAGCAAATGGTAACATATCATTAAATGATGCAATGAACAGGAAACAGCAGCATATTTAACAAAAATCTTTAAACAGTGTTTAGAACCTGACTACAAGTTCAGTTGGTTTTCTTAGTTTAATGTTTTGTAACGCTTAAAGAATTGCTTCTCCACCACTCTGACTGAATCCAAATGTAAGAAGGGTTAACTTCTCATTAATGACAACTCTGCTTTTAACTATCAATGGTAATTGGTACATTTGTTCTCTAACTCATAATTCCACTGTATGTTACATTTATGTGGCTGACACATTTTTTTTTCTTCAGTGAAACACTTCTCAGTAATTCTTACATAGAGGTAGCAAATGATGATTAGGTTTTACATGACTTTGCAAGTTAGTGAGTACCTTCAGGGACTATGTAGACATCTGTACCTTACTTAAGTCTGTATCACTTAACTCAGAGTATCTGCAAAATTTGTTCTTTTACAGTGTAAAAAGACATTGAACTATGGAAGAAATACAATCACACAAGGCCAGATCTTGTTTTGTCTCAACCTTAAAAATTATAAGCCAAGATACGAAAGCAGACAGCCAAAAATGCAATGCTTCAGCTTTGCTGAACTTGAACACAAGTATAAAACACAACCAGAAGCCCTTTCTTTTATATATATAAAAGATTCACTTTGGCTCCAACAAGGCGTGTGCAACATGTAATTGTATTTCTGGCTATCACTAAGAACTCTGAATACTTAGAAAGAACAGCAGCAGCCTGATGACTTAAATACACACACACCACTGTGGGCATTCCTTTTATCAACGACCATGGGCTTTTCTTGGCTCTCTCTCAGGGCTTTAAAGTGTTTTGGACTAAATACTTTTATTCTAAGTGGCTCAGGTAGCTTATTCCAAATAATTTTTTTTAATCCAGAACAGCATAAGACCTTTAAAATAGTTGCTGTCTATATTCTATTTTTCCCCCTCCAGCCTTTTCTTAACAGTAGAATTATTTTAAAGAAAAAGAACGTATCTTGAATACCCATTTTACTGCTTCAAGGTTCCTCCATCTCTTGGGATATCAGTCTCTCACATTCTTTTACTATCAGCGTAGTATAAAGAAAGAAAGGGCACATCCAAATATGACTTCAAAGGTTTCACTTGAAAATATCTTTAAAATATTCCCTTTCCTATCAGAATGTTAACTAACACCTGAACTGCACAGAACAGTAGATCCTTTAAATTGCAACTTAAAGATGCATAATGGCATCTTAAAGGAAATTTAGTGACGTCGATTTTCAAAGCATCCTCTTCTTGTATAAAATCATATGTGACTGTGTGACCTTACAACTGTGAATACCAATGATGGAAACAGTCTATCAGATGTAAATTTGATCTTGCTTTTATTGCTATTAAATACTCACTAGCTGCACATACACACCAGCCATAGTAAATGCAACATACACTTCTACATTTTGTCCTGGTTTCTTTTAATATATAGATTTTGTTTATATACAGTATGAGATGCATCTTTTCATTTTGTTCCATGCTTTTAGGAACTGTTCATGAACAAAAAGACCAGTTAAATTTATTGCATAAGTAGGTAAGAAAATTTTACTTGATTTTTAGTATTTGCAGACTGTACAACCATTTGCTTTTGTTATTAAAGGACATAAGAGATTAATCAAAATCTTAATTCCAGTCCAGTTTTCTGTCTCCCACTGTTGGAATTATGTTTGTTGGATGCTTTAATTTTGAAGATTTCTAATTTCTAGGCAGCTGGGAGACTGTTGACTCCCTTCAATCTACAACTCTGTCACAGCACGGTGAGGAAAATATCTTTCCAAAGCAAAAAGGAGAGGGAAGAGAAAGGAAAGGGGAGAAGGGGAATTATCTGCAATCTCACTGTATTTGTACCAAGCCCATTTTGGGGTAGGTTTCTATATTTATTTTCAAAAGTAACAGTAGCACAATACAGAACATCATATGACTCACTCAACTTATTACTACAAAGCTGGGAAATTGAAAAATTGAATCAGCAATTGTACAAGATTTTTTTTTGCTGAAACAGCAGCTGATTCAAATGGACAGACACCACTTAAAATTCTCATCAAGATAACTTACACCAGACTTCAGATGGTTAATTAACTATTTGGCAGAAATATACTTCTAAAACAGACATCTGCTTCAAACTGGGGTCAGCATCTGCCAAGCCAATTATATCCAAATATGCCCCCAAATACTCACTTCATCCTGCTTTATAGTAAGTAAACAAATACTAGGCAAAGGTTAGTTTACAGAGAGCACAGTAAAACATTCTTCATCATCAAATGTAGATATAAAGTGAAAAACAGGCAGTGCCTTAATAAAAGAAGTCACAGCATAGTAAAACTCTGCCTCAAAAATCCTTCCTCATTACTGCTTCTCACTGTAACTATGACACTCTGGCACAGAGTTGACACAAACCAATTATTTCAAAGAACTTCCAAACTCCATCATACCTTGTGGAGAAACAGTTGGAGTAGTTTCCACAACCAGACTCTTTAAATGAGATGAAAAATAAACCCAGTTCCTGGCCTTAGCATAAACACATTGATAATCAAAAGCCCAGGATTTAGTTTACCAGAGCAGTTACATATTGTTTAGAAGAGTCCTCCCTGTGTTTTAAAGGCAGTTTTAACTTCTAAGAAAATATGTGAGTTACAAGAATGGGATAAAGATCAATGTTTGTGCCTTGTTAGGCCAAATTAGCAATAAAATATTTAAGACTGCCTTTATGCCTCTCCTGCTAATCTGAACTATAACCAGCAATGCTTAGGCAATCTCCTCAGTATGGTTATTAACTGTCCATGTGGGATGGAAAAAGAATTTAAGTCCACATTCTTTGAACTTTTTATTGGCATTTCAAAATCAGGATCTATAGCAAGTAATGAGTAATAGATTATTATACTAGGACACAGTGGGGGTTTTTTGGGGTGGCTTTTTGATGTTTCTTTTGGTCTTTTTTGTCATTTGTTTGTATTAATTTTGTTTTAAAAACTGAACTACATGACTTGTAATAATCAAATATGAAGGCCTCTTATTAACAAACCACTTTTTTGTCTTTAGGCCACATCAAATACATCTTCACACATGTTGGGGCTAATGCTGACCCAGGTTACACAACTGTAAACTAGGAAGGTGTTCACCAAAGCAAAGGCAGAACCAGGTTTGCAGCGTTCCCCTCTTGCTTTATTAGGAGCCTCCTTACAGTAGTGACTGATTCTGGAATTAAGACATAGTAACTGTTTGCAAAAAAAACAAATTCTCCCTCCTCCCCAATACACCTACACTAACCACAATTCTGAAATAATATTTAAGAGAAAGAATAACACAAGAAATCCTCAGCATCCCATCTGAATCATGGAACGTAGCCTGGAGCTACTCACAGGGAAGGCAAGTAAAACCACAAGATTTGTGAGGTATTTAGGTAAAACAGGGGCTTCAGAGGCCACTAGAAAAATCAAGTTAGCAACAGGGTTTGTTTTGAGTTAAATAGGTCTAATTTGTATGAGAGCTCTAAAAATAATGCGTTAGGAAACAAATTAACCAAAAGTGGCAGGAAAATTTCCTGAAAAGAAATATCCAGAAAACTAGTCCTTACATGTCTGGTTCTTGTTTCCACAACACTGATTCATTTGCTGGCACATTCTAATATAACAGACTCTACAGCAGCATCAACACAGGTTTTCCTTGCCCTATAAAATGGAACTCTTCACAAAACAGCTAAAATAAACAAATAATACTAAATAACAATTTGGTTTGAGATGACATTCCACAACAAACAGGATCTAAATGTTAGGTTCCAAACGCTCCATAGCATTTGCAGTATATGCTCATACTATCCATTCTTGCCCTATGCATACTTAAAATTGAAAAAAAGAAAATTCAAATTATGTCATTTTCCATTAAAAAAAAAATAAAAAATGCTGCAGTTCCACAACACACACCCAAGATCCTGTTTAAACTACAGCTGAAGCTGTGTAAAGCAACAAGAGTCAACAGAAGTGGTGACAGGATGGCACCACCAAGGAAGGTGAGAAGCAAGCTCTTCCTAAGCACTGTGTCAGGATTGGAGCATTTATCCACCACCAGAACAGACTTCACACTTTTCGAAGCACCAACATAACCCTAAAGAGGGAGAAATCCTCGAGTAGGGAGAAGAATGCCAATGTAACAGAAATCTGAACAGAACAAACAGGGCCTGACTTTGAATCTGCTCAGGCTGGGCTGGGCACAGTTTGATTTCTGGGCACAATCCCGAACAAACAGGCCACAGAAACTATAAAAAACTCTGAGAAAATCCTCTGTACAGGTAAAACTTCTCTGGTCTTAGATAACTGAAGGATCAAGGACCATGCTGCTGATGAGGAAGCCTCATCTCTCATCATACCATATCATCACAATACTTAGAAAGTCATACTTATGTGAAATGTATCTCATTATTAATGTTTTATTTATTAGGTGAAGCTTTCTCCACCTGCTGAAAGCTTCCCAATCCAATGAGTCGATAGGCAACATTTGTAAATCACTTGTATTCACTTACAGGAATCTCTGCAGACCTCCAGAGAAAAAAATCCCTCAGTGGAAATCATCATGTGAAAGGGATGCTTGGAAAAGAGTACTTTGTTCCAGAAAGATCTTGCTGGCACAATTCTGGATTAGAAAAGGGGCATTGCAGAGCCTAATCAAGTTTAAAACTTACTTGTATTGGAAAATTTCAGCAAGTTTAATAAATGGCAGCAGGTAAACAGGGGGTCTGATAAAAGTCAAACCAGAGCGAGTGTTAAAGAACTTGGAGGTTGAGCATTTTGGTTATTAAAAAAAAATAATCCTCAAGAGACAAACTCCAGGCCTGGGAAAAAATAAAGGAGCCAAGGTCTGCTTTGGAGAGGCATTCTAAAAGCATAAAATATTAGCAAAAAATGAAAGAATAAC